AAGAATCCTTGTATTTGTGCACGATGTAAATTAATCGCGTATAAGTGTTGGTATATACTTGTGCACTGTTCGAATACGAAGAGAAAAAGAAAGATAAGAGTAATTGTGTAGAATATCATTCCGGTCTGAGGTGATCAGTGAAGAAATACTACAGCAGTTGTCAAATCTTGTATACAAAAGTGCTTTATTTCAAGGCAGGTCTTAGCGACAGAAAATCCGTTCTCGCTTCGATCGAGAAAGAAAAATTCACCGCCGAGATCCGAGCCCAAATCATCTCCGATAAAATCCGTAGCGGAGTCTGTTGAAGAGGGCAGCACCGAACTAGATAGCGTTATTATGAATGACAAAAGAAAAAGATTACAAACATCATTCAACAGTTTGTTGGAAGCAGCCAACGTATCACCCGTAAACGATGCGTAAGCAGTACAAAAATATCACGTTATAGCTTATCTACCTTCTTTTTGATGTAATTTTAGCCGTAAATCATATGTACGACGTCAAAGGGCAACCAAGGTTATGAATACAACGAAACGTCTATGTGGACAACTTGGTACATTAACATCCGCATCTGAGGAAGACAACGACTCATTTCGTCACCTAGATCAACTTCTGTCGAGTGAGGCCGATGCTCTGATAGATATTTAGCTTTAGAAAAACTTCAGACGGACAGACCTATACTGTACCTCTGTTTTTTGACAGCCGGTTTGAAGCTGCTTTATCGAACCAGCGACGCACAAGAACAAGTACGCCTTTTAACCATATGTTCTAAACAATCGGGACGCCAGAAAATAGAAAATGTTTTTAATACCACAAATTATCAAGCGAGAAAAGCGATCGAAGTGCGACTTACCCAGGGTATTTTAGCACGGCCCGTTTATTGCCGAGGAAACCAACCATTAGATCGAGAAACTATCGATAGTGTATTGGATTATTACTGCTCAGATAGTGTTAGCCGACAATCGCCAAATGCGAAAGATTGTCTTCGAATTCCGAAAGGAGACGGTTCCTACGATAAACAGTTAGTTCCCATTCGATTCATGACCCTCACCATCGGAGAAGCGTTTGAACAATATCGAACGGAGAATCCAAGCATAGCGATTAGTCGTTCAAACGTTGATGCTCTACTCCCAAAATGGATAAAAAAATCGTCACCGCACGATGTGTGTGTTTGCATTTATCATGAAAATATGTCGTTGCTACTAGAGGTAAAAGCTCAGAATAAAAAAGCTTTTTTCAGCGTGCACTACATTCAGCGTGCACGTCATTTTCCACTAAGGCTGGTCAAGGTCGGTACATGATAATGTGACGTATGGTGATTTAATCAAAAGAATGTTATGTTCATCGGATAAAATCGAGTGTGTTAAAAGAGAGTGTGGAAAATGTAGCTCATTAATACCATCTGACATACTATTGCAGTCGTCCAATGCTACCAAAGATGACGAGGCCCAGTGGATGATCTGGATAAAAACAGAAAAAAAGTAATAGTGCCGTTGAAATGAACGTCATAGCTCTTCTGCTTACATTTTCATTTTCTTAACGGGCTATATTAATAAGATGTCGATTCTGGCAGGGGTGAGAAGCGAGAAAGTCGTCTTTTCTACTGGATTTTCCGAAGGAGGGATATAAAGAAAAATCCATGTTGTGCTGGTATTAGGGGATAGTGTGAAGTTCAAATTGAATCATCCGACGTTTATTTAAAAAACAGAAATAAAACAACGAAAGGAAAAAAGGCGTTAATAACTATAATCCGTGTTTTGTGATACTCAGTCCCAATCAATGCATTCGCTGCTAATATTGATTTGGAGTATAAGTGGGATGTAGATTAGAACATAACATTGTTAACATTACCGAACAGTGACGGGACTACTACATCAATACATTGTTCGGAGTATGGTGAAAGGGTAATTTGATCAATTAAAAATACGGGAAAACGAATATCGGGAGGTTCAACGAACGGTGTATAGGCTATTACTTGATGACATTTGTTGACTAGAATAATACGTTGTTGTGGAGAATCAATGATAACGCTGTTTTGTGTTATCCAATCAGTTCCAAGTAATAAATCTGTAACTAGATTTGTCGCAACATCGGCGATTATCCATGTTCGGTGTCCCTGTATTTTGATCTCAAGATGAATTTCGCCGATAATATTAACAGATGTGCAACTGGCCGATGCATGGATTTTGCGTTTGTAAATAAATTTCTTATGATGAATCTTCTTCAATAATTGTTGGTGGATGATGGTGACCGCGGATCCCGTATCGATTATAGCATGTTGGGGTGTTTGATTTACTTGGACTTTGATGTAAATGGGACTCGATGATTTGTGGGATGTTATTGATGGATTTTGTATACTGGAATGGCCACCATC